GTAAGTAATTATGATGTACGTAATTAATTAATGACCTGTAATCATGTGATTTGTTCACACTATATTGCGTATTTATGATGTACCTTGACCTGACTGGCTGGAAACTAGTAATTGCTTTGATTGGTGGATCAGGTCACATGGTATGACCTGATTGGTTAGTTATGTGAATAAAAGGCCCGTCAAAGGCTCATTTTAGCAGAACGATTGCAGCCATGGAAGGTCAGAGCTCTCGCCCTGGCTCTCGCCATGTCTCTAGCCCTCGCTCCTGCTCCTGCTCTCGCTCTAGCCCTAACCCTTGCTCCCGCTCTCGCTCTAACCCTAACCTTCGCTCCCGCTCTCGTTGATGATAATGGTATTGGATGGATTCCTCTCACTCTCTACTACCCATACAAGTAGGGCATTTGCTGCAGAGACCCACCAAACCCCCACATTCTTGGCCCTGATGGCAGAAGGGATAAAGGAATTCTCCATGTATTTACAGTAAGACAGAGTGCATGACTGACATGCAGAAGAGCCCTGATGCCATGTCTTTCCTACACTCTATCATATTGTCCATACTTATTGGATTCTTTGATGCTCAGGGTTGTGGCTGAAGGGGACACAGCTCCATGCATTTGATATATATTGACCAGTATAGTATAGTATTCATATTTTACCCCGTGATTTCCTCCCCTGCTATCAAGGCCAACATTGTAAGTACTGGGGGGTTTCATTGGCATGATTTCTACATAACTGTGTTGTAGAGAGAGGAATCCATCATTATCACTATCTTCATGATTGGTCATGGTAAGTTATTCTGAAAATTTATCATAGATTGTTTTTGTTAGGCATATCTTTCCAGGTGGTCTAGACTCTATACAACAACTTTAGCAAGCAAAATTGTGTTATTTGTTATTGTTTTATATCGTTAGTATTTAAATTTTCTGTAACAGTGAGCAGGAATAGTTTCCTGTGCATGGATATATTTTTCTCTCTAAAGGTGGCCCTCTCAAAGGAGCATCTCACAGATGGTAAACTCCAGCCACGTAGACCAATCTTGCATGAGCTTGTGAATTAATCCCTTCCTGAAGGCTTGCCGAATTAATCTCCCTCCAATATTTGTTTACTCATGACAAGTCTTCCCTGTCACCTGCCACTCAGCAAAAAGTTTCCTCAAATTTTTATGATAAGACATTCTCATCACCTTCCCCTCATTCAATTTTTTTTTTGTGTGTGTGACATGATGATCCCATCAGCTAGATCCAATGTATTAAATATAAATAGATTAATTCTTTAGTTTCAATCTACAATTGAATATTAACAGTGATAAGCTGATCTACTGATTATATGTGCTGTTTATCTTGTGCCATGTTACTCTTTGGAATAAGATATGTAATCAAATTTTTATCCAAACACTGCCAGTATGATCTAATCAGCTGACACAATACACAAAACCATGAACATATCTCATAAAATACTCCATAAACTACTCCATCTCTCCTCATAACATGCCAAAGCCGGGAACAGGAATGGGGGTAAACGAGTAAATACTAAATTCAGGAACTTCTAAACTAAATATTCACTTAATCGGATAACCTAGAAGACAGCTACACATCCCCACATCACATGAACCTCCTCTAAAAGTGGAAAGACGAGAAAAAGCAACATAAAACGCGACGTGAAATCGACTTAGGTGAGGCCGATCACGTACGCCGAGTTGGAAGCCGGATTGCATATTTCTTCGAATTTCATTACATTTGGATGATTAAAACCCAGAAAGGCAAGATAAGTAGATGTAATGAACGCACCTTGATTCCCCTAAGAGAAAGTTACTGTGACAATGATAAGAAATAGGTTTAATTAACGGAAATCGAACTTGCCTTTTGAGTTGCTCAGGTTTGTTTACTACGACTGGGTGCGGGTATAAAATAATTTTTCCAATGGTCTGAAGTTCTTCAGATAAACGTTACTTAATTAGTGCAACGTTAATAAAAGAAAAAAAATAACATCATCTGTGCAGACTACAAAATCCCAAGTGATAACACATGAACACTTTACTAATCAATTGTACCCTTGCTATCTCTAAGTTATAGGAAAACCCCAATAATAATAATAATAATAAAAAAATCATATATCGGAACAGGATAGATATAAAAAAATCTTGAGAATTCAGTAAAATCACATAACACATACTAAGCTTTAAACATTTACATCATTTAATATATAACAGCAATTATTGATGATGATGATGATAATAATAATAGTAATAATAACAACAATAATAAGGTTAATGATAATTATTATATAAAATAACAATAATAAAACTCAACAACAACAACGACAAAATAATAATAATAATAATGATAATAATAATAATAATAATAATAATAATAATAATAATAATAATAATAATAATAATAATAAAAGTAACAATAACAAGAATAATAATAATGATGTTCGTAACGATTATAATGATAATAAGGATAACAATAACAGTAGCAGCAACAACAACAATGAAGACGATAATAATAATGATAATGAAGATGATAGTGATAATGATGAAACTGAAAATATCAATGATAATAATGATAATAATAATTATAATGATAATGGCACAAAACATAACAATAATAATAATAATGATAATAATATTCATTATTATTATTATTATTATTATTATTATTATTATTATTATTATTATTATAATCCCCACTATGATCATTATCATTATTGTTATTATCATTATCATTATTATCATTATCATTATTATTATCATTATTATTGTTATTGTTCTTATTATCATTATAATTGTCATAATCATTGCTGTAAGATGAGGATAATGATAATGATGAAGATAATAATAAAAATGATAGATGGTAATAACAGTGATGTGATGCAATGATAACAATAGCAGTGGTGATGAAAATGTTAAGGATAATGATAGTTATAATGTAATAGCAATAATAATAACAACAATACTACTACTACTATAATAATAATAGATAATAATAATGATAATAGTAATAGATGATGATGATGATGATAATAATAATAATAATAATAATAATAATAATAGATGATAATAACAGTAGTAAGAATAAGAATAAGAATAAGAATAAGAATAGTATGAAATGATAAATATTATAATGATCATAACAAGAATCATAATAATGAAATAAACATTAACCAAAACAAAAACAAGAACCACAATAACATCATATAACAATGATTCCATTACTATCAATAGCTACAATAGTAATGATAAAGATTGTAAATATAAAATGTACAATATATAACCACACCAAACTACAAGATGTTTGGAATTAATACATTACGTTATGTTACGGAACTACAGAACTGGTCTTGTGGCCTTTTGAAAGAGTGTTCTGTATATAATTCTGTGGTTTCTTTGCGTGCTACACTGAAATTTCGCTGAAAATGAAACTGGTGGTGAATTTGAGTGGTGTTTTATCACTCGTATTTCGGGAGAGTTATGCCGAAAGTCTAAATAGATTATATGATATGGAAGGAAATCAAGGTGGATCTTAATAGCAAAGTAAGGGGAATGTGATGTGAACCCACCGTATTCATCGTCCAGCGTGGGCTACAAGCCACATGAGCCGACTAACATTAAGATAACGATTACCTCAATGGGACCACAGAGTACGATTCTCGGCGACCGAGGCCTAAGACCTTTCTCGATGACATTCCCGGCGTCGAAATCCTCATTCTTTCACAGCGTTTCGTCTAGACCTGTCAACCTTATGCAGATAGAAATCGGCTTCATCTGGTGGGAAGATCAAGATGCAGCATGCTTTGCTCTCAAACAAGCTCCGTACAGCAAGGCTATCCGAAAACTTACAGGATAATTCCCAAATTTTGAGGACGGATGCATTAGGAAAGGTGTGGGTGTAATATTCCTTTAGGATTTCAGTGGAGAGCACTGTCGCGCACCAGAGCCGAGGAGCATAATTAACTATGATAGATGTGTGCAAATTTCCCCACTGCCTGTGGGTCCTTCTTCATCCTTGAGACCGACCGAAAGCTGATGCGATGGCGTCACTCTCCAGCAGATTACCACGGCAATGATAGTGAGACTCCTGCTTGCAAGCTATTTCAGAGATTCATAAAAGATAGACAATGGAAGTATTGTTCTGCAGTTTTTAAATTTGATATTCATTGTTAATATAGCACTTAAAAAATATTTGTCTGAAATTGATTTGATAGGAGACGCTAACGGTGCTGTCGATGACAGGATGTTCAGTGCGTGTTAGTTCCGTCCGTGTCTTCGAGGCATGTAGTCGACTGTGGAAATACAGGAATTATTTGAACATTTAGTTTGCACAGTTCTGTCAATAGATTTTTCCTAGCTAATCACCGGTTATCTTTCCTTTGTTGTGTCTGGCGAGATAATCGATTGGAAAAGATAGCGGTCTGGTATCCGGCACACATTTACTGCGCGCTCGCCATGGGGGAAGAAAGTAAGTGAGTGCTTATTTAGTAGAAGTTAAGAGGCATTTCAACTGGCCTTGTGTGCGCGCGTTTCTTGCCGTAGGCTCGGTTATCTGGGTAGACATCAAGGGGCTGAGGGGAGCCCGCGATAACCACACATAGAGCGTTCTTTCCCGAACCAATTCAGGTTCTATTCCAGGGTGCAAATAACAACTATTGTCCGTAATTTCTTTAGAATAATCATAGATATATCTATGCATATATAAAGCTAACGGAAGATTTATAACATTATATGTTTTATTTGTTATGTATCAGTTATTAGAAAATTATTTATAAATATGTATGTATATATATACTAATATATGTTCATATATATATATACATATATATATATATATATATATATATATATATATATATATATATATATACATATATATATATATATATATATATATATATATATATATATATATATATATATATATATATTTACATCTACATATATTTTTATCTATACATATGTGTATGTACATGTATACATACATATATATATATATATATATATA